AGCCGCGCCGCGCATGCGCCGAGCGGCGCGGCAGGCGGAGGGCGGAGGGCGGGGCGCAGCGCGCGCAGCGGCCGCGGAGCCTGAAATGGCGGCGGCGGCGGCGCCCCTGACCGCCCAAAATGGCGGCGGCCTCAAGGGCAGTGGGGGGAGGGGAGGCGGGGGGTGTTTGGGCCGAGCCGGGGGCAGCGATTGCGGGCGGGAGGAGGGAGAAGGCTCCTGGCCCGGGAATACTGGCCCTCGTTTCCCCCCGTGTTGGAAGTGTAGGAAGGACGTGTACCAGGTGGATACATTTTTTTTCTGTAAATAGCCCCAGACCTGGAGCCTTTCCCACACCTTGTGCGCTCCTATCACCCAGGCAGGCCTGAAATGCTCTGTGGGGGGGAGACTGGAAATGCAGCGTTTGATTTCCCCGGGTAAACAAGTGTTTCTCTCGTGTGATTTTTCTGATTCCCGTTCTTGCCCTTGGGTTTATATTTAAGAATGCAGCATCTCCCCTTAGGAAGGAAGCCCCCTGCAGTGCTCCCCCAAACCCTGAGGGCCAGGCACAAAGAAAACAAAACTCTCTGCCCAGAGTAATCGAGGACACATGCTCATGCCAGATTGTGTTTGGTTTGGGTATCCCAAAGTCTTTAAGCAATTTACATGAACAACCATTAGCATTCATTGGGAGGTATTTCATACTCCAGAATATATAGATGCTGGAATATCTGCATCACTTGCTATCTATTACAAAGGAATTTCTGTGAGCATTGCTCCTGTTGCTGCATGTCCAGGAGATGTATCAGGCATGAGTCAGGCATTGCTACACCAGGCATCCAGAACAGCTCGCTGGTGCTGTTTCTGCATGCCTGAACGCAGTTAACAATCAGATCTTTTGCTGTTCAGTTTAGCTTTCGTAACAACAAATAGTTAGGTCTGGAGAACGGCTAGTGAAAATGCAGTTTAAAGGAGCAGTATCTACTCCGGTACAATTGTTTGGGTGCTCCCTCTCAGTGCGGCTAGGGGCGAACTGGTGGCTCCCACACAAGCTCCATGGTGCTTGGGGGCAGTTTCACAGAATCACAGAGCGGTTGAAGTTGGAAGGGACTTCCGGAAGCTCCATGTCCCCCTTGTCCTGGGGAGCCCAGAGCTGCCCCCAGTGCTCCACGTGCGGCCTCACAGAGCTGAGCAGAGGGGCAGGATCCCACTGTAAAACACCACTGTAATCTTATTTACCCTTTTTTTTTTTTTTTTTTTTTTTTTTTTTTTTTTTTTTTTTTTCCATGCAGTAACATATCCAGGGTCTGTTTCTGTATACTCAGTATTTCAGAATGATTATTATGGCCAACAAACTGAGATGATCCACTAAGCTTCATGTTATATTATCATGTATCCAGTATATGTGAGCTAATGCAGTGTAGGATTTGGGTTTTTCTCTTCCTCACTAAGCATCTTCACAATTCCAAATTTTTTTCTGGTTTCAAATGAGATCAATTTTTTGCCCCTTCCAGTATATAAATACTTTGGAAAACAGACTGGAGATCCAAATTTGGGCAGGAGATGCTTCTTAGAAGGGCACAAGTGGGAAATGCACTGAGTCTGGGCAGAAGCTTGTGCTATGGAGCAGTGAAACTCGAGCTCCGTCTGCTGAAGGTGCCTGCTTGTCACCTTGGTAATAACACGTGCACACTCAGTACTGAAAAATGTCCAGGTTTGTAAGAATGCAAAATATTTTCAGGTTTTGCTTTATGACTTTTTCATAAAATTGTACCACAGGGTCATCTAATGTTTTCCTTCCTTTATATATATATATATATATATGTATGCATGTATGTATATATATATACATACATATACACAACACACACATATATATACATATATATATACATATATATATACATTTTTGTATATTAGTGTTTCTGTTGCCTCACAACATGCTTGCAGGCAAACAATGCTCACTTAAGGCAACTAAGGATATGTTTTTTTTTTTTCCTTAAAACTTACTGATCTTGCTGATTACCTCACACTGCTTGTTATTTGTGTCTTGATAATAGAATCAGTCACTGCTTGTTGAAACCACCTTAGTGGTAAATTAAAGGACACCATCAACTGCAGTTAATCCTACAGTAGTGGAATACTGAAGGAAAAACCAGATGTTTCAGAAGACAGAGGTAACTTAGTTTAGGATGGTGAAGGCTTTGAAATAGGAGCATTTAAATTTAATTACCTTGATCTATAATGAGGCATCTTAGTAAGTATGTAACTTTTAAAAGTGCTTTAGTTTCAAGAAATTCACCAAACCTAGGCCTAGTCAAGATAAATTATGTTCATCTGTTCAGACTGTCAGTTTCAAAAATGAAGCTGAAGATTAAACTTTGGTGAAAAGATTTACATCCCAGAGAAAGGACTAAGAAGTGGGCTATATGGATTCATGAAGAGATAACTTTTTGCTAGTGTGCTCAAACACTTCTATGAATTTTTGTTAGGGAATTGACCTCAAAATAAATAAACAACATTGTCCAGCCTGTGTGCAGGCTCTGAGAATTAATTCACATTTGTAATCTTATTTTATTTCTCCCTCCTACTGTCACACATGAAGACAAAATGTGACAAAATGTAGAAATTTCCAAAAATTATATGTCCTTAGCATCCTAGAACTCGAACAGTTGCTCTTTTCCTGGTTTGACAAGTCATGTTTTCTCCCTGTAATTTCTCTTACAGAATTGTTCAGTGCCCAAGGTTTACATCTGCACAGTCTTTTTGGGACAACAAGAGGCATTACACTCACTTTTGGGAAACAGTTCTCTGGATGGCAGAAGAGCACAGGTAATTTGCTGCTGTGTAATGGAAAGATTCTCTTCACAAAGAATAATTTTCCTTAGCTCACAAGTAAAGCTTTGCAATTCCGTTGGCTGCAGTGGAGTTGCTCTTTTATTTTTTTTTTAATTTTGTCTGAATTTTCAAGCACTTCTCTTAGTCTACAGAGAGTTGGAAAAACTATAAATTTTGCTGCTGAATTCAGGGAACTATGGATTGAGATTCTTGTATAGGGTTTTTATTGTTTTGTCTACGCATTAACAATATGAAAAACCTGTAGAGAAAGATCTTTTACTTTTCTTGGAGGATTAACTAAGCGAAAGATTCTTTTATGTTTCACGTGGAATTTACAAAGTGCCTTTTTTTCTTTCTTTTTCTTTTTTTTTTTTTTTTTTTTTTTTTATGTATCTCTTCAGGCTTTTCCTTGCATCTTAGAAAAGAATTACTTCTTTCCATGTTTATCACATAGCTAATTTTGCAGATTAATGCTGTCTGGTTTTCCCCATCCTTGAGCAATTTCCAGATTAGATGTGGGAAAGGTTTAGGAAATCTCTGATTTACTCCTCAGTTCTGCGCTTAGCAACTTTTATTGTGGAGATGTTTCTGGGTCATTGGTTGTGTTCAGTGGCCTCATCTGCCCTTTGGCAAAAGAAAAGTGGGTTTCAATGGCTTGAATCACCTGAAAAGCTCTTGAATTATCCTGTTAATCACAGCGAGCTGCCTGAGCAAGTACTCGTGAGCCAGGCTTCTTTTCCACATGCATTTGAAGAGGCTGCTTTTGTGGGGTCTATTCTGTGTGCTGGGGGGGTGCTTGCAGTGCCAGAAAGGTGTCTCATCTCTTCACCCTTTTTACCCATCCTCTTTGTCCTCCAGGTGCCCTTGTTGGTCAGTTTTCCCAAAGATGTGTTAATCCGTAATCCCAGAGTTGTGACTTTCATTTCAGCATTTTGCTCACTGTTTCTCTCCAAGGGCCTTGCTGGAGAGATGCAGCTAGTCAAGAGAGAGCGACTACAACGGAACCAAATACCTGAGTGGAGAAATCTAATACAAGGACCTAGTCTTCATATGCCATAATGTAACCCTCACAAGACAAAGTAAATTTTCCAGCAGATGCATTCAACTGGGAGATCTTAAAATCCATGCATGCAAAGGCTGATCATAAGCCTAAGTCTGAACCTTTCCTTCAGGAATACAAAGGGTTGGGGGTGTTTTGTTTTGTTTTGTTTTGTTTTGTTTTGTTTTCCCAGAATAGCATAATGGGATATCTGTGCAAATCTGTGCAGCAGGAATTGTAAATAACTGCAATGGTCGTTATTCTTGTTTTGCTTTGAAACTGTCTACCAGCTCCCCACCTATCAGGCCTTCAGTTACCTTTAGAGCAGAGATTAGCTTGTATATTTTTGTATACATATATATTTCTCTACTCGTATCCATAAGTTTGAAATTAATTGATACATATATTCAGCAGTGTGGTGAGCTAAATATAGGCTTGCTTACTCAATTATGTTTTCCTCAGTAAATGCAGGAAATCATAGAGAGCTTTCTGGAGTCTGGTTCCATGTAAGGGTTGGGTCTATCCAGATTGCAAAAGTTAAGCTTTCACCTGTGAGAAAACTCATTTTGGCCATGAAAAGGTAATCATAAGGAATGCTGGCATCAGATAAGCATTTCTGAAGTTATTGCTTGTCTGTAACTTGCTTTCAAGGGTATCCTGCTATGCCTTTTCCTCAGACATGTAAAAATGAGGTTTTGGGGAATGTGTATATGATAAAGGGTGGACCAGGGCCACCCACCCTGTGGCAAAAGAGAATCCTGTACCTTTTACTCAGTACTTTGTACCATTGCTCCTCAGCTGTATTCACTTTCCACTCAGTTGACACTGATGGAACTGGCTGTCAGTAACATGTACTTTTTTTTGAAGCGGTATTTCCAGTTTCCACTCTACAGGTATCAGTAGAAAATAGTTGCGTAATCTTCAGTCAAGATATAATCTTATTTCATGTGAAGGATTATGGAAAAACGTTAAAAGCAGTGAGTCTCAAAATGACTCAATTGAGTCTCCCTGTATATAAAGTGGTGTTCAGTAATGCTCTGTATTCTTGCTCTGTGCAGTGTGAGAGGAACATATCTGAACAGTGTTCTCTGTGTTATAACTAGAAGGCATTTTGCCTTGAATATTTCACTGCCAGTTTTGCTCCTCAATAATGCTTGTTTCATTGATAAGCAGTTATATTTCTGAAACAGTATAAATTTAATGTTAATTCAGTAAAAGCAGAGTTGGCAGTGGCATCTAGATTTTCCTTCCTGTCCATGCATACATTGTACTTCCTTCCCTTTTCATTTACAACCCCTTTCTTCCTCTGCTGTTGAAGTTTTCTTTGAATGTTGCTGCTACAGCTATTCAAAAGGCAGAAAAGTGTTAACTAGCAGGTGCATATTATGCTTTGTAGAGTCATGATCTCTCAAAGAGGAAACCAAAGATTAAACCAAGATAGCAGCCTGTGTCAGAAGTGTAATCAAGTGTCTTATCAGTTGTCATGATTCAGAACAAATGGGCATGGATGGAATCTGGACCAGCATCTGGGAAGCCAAATTCATACTGTCATGTGTGAGATGAAGAGCAGGCAGGAGAGGAGCAAGGTCAGGCAGTTTGCAGAGAAGCTGACACCATGTCTGGAATAGTAAGAGGCAGGAGGAGAGTTATGGGAGCAAAGCATAGGGAATGTTCTACAAGCCCACTGTCATACGCAGCCAAAAGGAGCTGACAGGGTTGCTTTGCTTCTCTCCTGGGCAGAGTACACCATGAAGCCAGTGGAGATCCAGACACAACAGCCTTTGATCCCCCTTTGGAAAAACTGGAAGTGACTGACTGCAACTGACTTGCATGACCAATCTGAGGTGAGGTAATCTCAGGTTTTTCCCAAGTGCTTTTACCCAAGTACTCAAGCAACTATCAAACCAAGCTGATTTCACCTTGACTCATTCTGTCAGGAGACAGTCACTGGCAGTTCTTTACAATTATACTGATTCTGCTCCAAAATTTTCAGTGAAATTTCCTCACCTACAAAATTTCATTCTTTGGATTTAATAAATCATAATGATAAAAAAAGCTTAAAAGAGACCTGCCCTTACATGTCAAGATGTAGCCAATCAATAACTTGCTCAGGTAATGCCCAAGCTTCCCACAGAAGTAGGTTATTTGCTAGTATGTTTTTGAGAAGTTAATAGCACCGTCTTTTCAAATATATGATAAAGGTCTCAGTTGTGGAACTGATAGGGGTATTTTCTTGTGAAGGAATACATTACTAGCACAAAAATGACCTAAAGAAACTTTGTATAACTTCCTTCCCAAATTAGGTAAGGCCAGTAAGTAGCCTTCATGGCAGAATTTGTTGTAACTCGTCGGTATACACATTTTTAGCAGAACTAAAGTAACCATTCAGCAGCCTGCATGCTAGAAGGTGGCACTTCACCCATCTTGTTTTCTCCTACTGCTTTTTTGTGCCAGCCTGCTTTCATCACACGTTCGTTATTCTGCACATCTTCCTCAAACAAGCTTACAACATATGGCATGAAACAAAAAACTAGGCTGCATTTCCCATTTAAGAAACAAACTAAAAAGCACCGTAATGTTTTCTGTGTAGCACTTGCCTCCAGTTACAATGTTGTCTTATGTAGTATCATCTTTGACCGTTATTTGAAGATCATTGCTGATAAACCTCTAGTTACTGTGGAAAAAAAGATATTTGCCATTATAGCTGAAGCACGAAGAGGGGAAATTTACATTTTTATTTCTTCCATACACAGCCACAGATGCTGTTAATAGTTTGGTTGCTGAAATGCAAGAAATGCATGAAATGGCAATTCACATTACAGGAGATGGGCTGAGGACAACTGTATACATTAGTGCATTTGCTAAAATTATAATCGATTTCAGTAGGACCTATCCTTGTGAAAGGAGCACAAGGCTCCTTAAGCACTCTATGATTCTGTGATTCTATGATTAGGTATACTAACAAAATGTCAAAAATCTGATCTTCTTCCAACTTTCTATTGGCAACTGCTGGTCCATTTTCATCATTTAGCTGACAGAGCAGTGTTTGCCCTTTGCTATAAACAGGTTTCCTTACCTATTTATAGGTAAACATAAAACATATATTAAAAAATATATATATAAAACAGGCTTCTTATGGCATATTTTGAACCCCTTTCTAATTCTGAAGCTGAGACCATTCTTCCAGAAGTCATTTAGGAAGTACTGTTATTTTCCTTTGTTTGCAAAGACTGGAAATTTTGCCAGTTTTCAAAGCAACTCAAAATTTGGGCAGCTGAGGAATTATGGGAAGGAACAAAACACTCCCAGTTTTAGATGACTTTTCAGGATTTGTTTCCACATGTAGGACAGACAGTATCTCCCATAAGGAAATCTCCAAGTTTGTCACCTGCCAGTCCTCATTCCTCTCCTCTCCCTTTCCCTCTTCAGTCCTTTTTGCTGAGCTTGTGCTGCTTCTCGGTTTTCTACAGTTTATTTTATAAATGGATGGGAAGCTAAGTAATTTCTCCTTATCTAAACTTTTTTTTTTTTTTTTTTTTTTTTTACTTTAGAATAGCATAAAATTTCTTTATGTGGTTTATCGTGCAGTCTAGCATCCAAATATTATTAGCAGTTTCAGGGTTATATGCGTGAGACTCTACTGATATTGCTGTGATATTTAATTTGGTCGTTAGGGGGAAATGTTGTACAAAGATTGTGTTACCTCTGAAATAATCAACTTTGGAGTCTTCTGTGGACTAGCTGGTGGAGGGAGTAAAACAGTCCTTTTCAGTATCCAATACTTCCCATAATTTCATCCTGAAAATTCACATGTCATTCATTGTGTCATTTTCTGTTGGTAAAAACTATATTTAAGACTAAATACAGTTTTTTGCTTCACTCTGCTTTTATTACATATTTATAATTTTATGTTGATATTATATCTTCCTTAAATGGGAGATGCCATCAAGCTGCTGCTTCTCTCAGCCTAGGCCTTCATCTCTCAGCTTCTTTTTCACTCACTTCAAGTTCCCCATCACACGTTTAAATTGCATCCATCTCAAATACTCAGCATTTTATCTGTTTTCAAATATCTGTGATAAGCTTTTGCTTAGGATTTACAGTATTACTTGTAACTATCCCAGATTCTGTCAGTGGCAAGACAAGTAATGCTAAAGGAAGAAGAGTGATGATTTTTCTGACTGATGTCCCTTGCTGAACTTCAAAATATTATTGTGGCATTATTGTCTGTACATTGCTAGCAAGCTGCCCAGCTTTCAGAGTTAAAATCTGGTGGCATTTCCCACTTTTTTGCTAATTAAGTGTATTTCTAATGGTATACCAGGCCTTTTTTACAATAAGCTGTCTCCCAGTAGAGTTCTCATAAAGTCCATCTTGAAAATATGCTAACATTTTGTATGCAAATCTTTCTTCCAAGGAGATCACAGAATAAATATAGAAGATCAGAGAAAAAGATCAGAGAATAAGCATAGAGAACAGAAAACTTGTCAAACTTTGAATGCCAAGTCTTTTTATAATTTTACTCTGGAGTGCAAAATTAGAAAAAAAAAAAGTCGGTTTTACTGAAAAATGAAATATAATGGAATTAGGACTACTGTCAGTTTGCAATGCCTTTTTGTAATGCTGAGCTCTCTCAGGGAGTTAAAAAACAGTCAAGAAGTTAAGGGAAGCTCTGTTGTATTGTTTGTTTCACTGGTCCATGTGTCAGTTCTTACAGACCTGAGAAACTCCTTTTTGAACCCCAGACATTGGGCAGTTTTGGAACAAGTAGTTCTACTTTGACTGGAAAACCCAGTTTCTGTAGCTTGCCTTGCTGAGCTCAGTGCTTTGAAATTTGCTGAGGAAGTTCAGGATTTTCTGGGCAAGCATCTGGTGAAACTCTATGGAGAGAGTTCTCAAAATGGTAATTTTAGCAGACATCTTTGTTTTTATAAACAGTTGTAAACCTTGATCTTTATGGTTTCTCCATTCTTAATCATAAAATTAATACTATAATATTATTACAATTTTTATGTCTCAATAGAAAGAAAATAAAAGGATACTTTCTGCTATGTCCAAGAGGTATTACAAAAAAAAAAAAAAAAAAAAAGGTTTAAAGAAAGACTGGAGCTCAGACCTGGTCTGTTAACAGCAGTTGCTGACTGAAACATTCTGTTCCTTTTATGCGATCTATAGCGATAAAATACCCATAATACCTGCAAGACTTAAGTCAGTTTTGTTCTGGACTAGGTGTATTTTGGACAATTGTGTCAATTAGCATTGTTTAGGTGGATGAAATCAAGACATAGGCAATTTATTCTCATTACAAATGTGAAGAAAAATGTTGCTTGCTGCATTAAAAAGAAAGGGTGTAATTTTCTACTGTATTTTCTGACAAAGCAAAAAATAGCAATCTTCTTAGAGTCAGTTTAGATAAAAGAGGATTTTTTTATGTCACCAAATGGAGATTTTATTCCTTTGTGTATAATTTATAAAATCTAAACATTTCAGCATTATAAGTACAGGTTTAGAGAGCTTATGTTTTTCTCAGCTAAGTGGAAGACATTTGGGAAAAAAAAAAATTATTTTTTGTCCTCACCACTTTTGAAAAGAGTTATATCTTCATAATATAGAGGATGTTCAAGAATGCAAAGGCATTTACTGTTTATTTAAGGTACTTCTTGAGAGAGCACCATTAATACAGCAGCCACAGTGTCTTCAATGTATATGGACCATCTCAGGACATGTATAGACTGCTACAGGGAACAACTGCCATTACTTAGTCAAACCTTGGTGGGTAGCCGTTTTTCCCCACTTCTCCAAAAAAGACAAGCTATGTTGAGAAAACTTTTGGGATTGTATTATTTCAGAAAATGAGCCAGGTTGAGGTTCCTGCAAAGTGAGCAGTCTCTCTTTACTAGTACAGTTTTGCAGCCAATAGAAAGAAACACATTCATCTTGGGCAAGGGAAAGAAAATCATCATTTGGAATGTGTCGTTGGATCTATATAAAACAATACTGTGATTAATTGTGCCTAAATTTTATCTTAAGAAGGTGCTTTTCTAGCAAGGAAATGTCTCTGGAAGCCAGACATATGCACTGTTTGCAGGGACACAGAGAAATATTCTGCATTTTTTTGGGGAAGTGTTGGAAATGGCACTTAGGTTTGTCTGTGTAGGAGAAGATACACTATGGAAGGTTTTTTAGAAACTAGGTAGTAGGAATTGTATAGTTTTGTGAAGAATTAAATACAGTTTGCTGCAAACTCTTCAAACTCTTCTCGAAGATAAGGTTCCTGTAAAGTAAGAGGGTTGGCTGTATGACGTTTGTAGGAAAGCGGTGGAGTGGGGAAGTGGGGAAGACATTTAAAGGTAGAACAATATTCTGCTCTGCAAGAATGGGACTGCATACAAGAGCTTTGTGTTCACAAAGATACTCAGTTTCTGTGACTCTGAATTCTGTAACATGATTTGCTTCAGGAGGAAGCATCTGTGACAATAAGGCTGGAGCAGATAATACTCTGCTGTTTCCCAGGCCCATGAGGAGGGCAACTGTTGCAGTGCACAGAAGGCCCCTCTACGAGGCAGCAGAGCCCCAAAGAAGCAGGCTGAGATCCTGGGGTGATCCTCAATCTCTGCATCTGGGGCTTATTTCCTCCACAAAATAAAGTTGTATCTTAAGTACAAGGAAGTAGAGGCGGGTCGCAGAAAAGCAGAGTGTGCCTTGGTGAAACGTGGGGGAGGAGAGCTGCGCTGCCGCAGGCCTTGGCCACGTGGGCCGCGCTGTGCCCCTGCTGCAGCCCGTGCAGGTCCCTCCTGCTCCTCGCACCGGGCGCTGCAGCGCAGAGGCGCCTGGTCCCGGGACGTGCCGGGCACAAAGCCACCAGGCAGCGGCAAGGAGATGGGGAAATCCCGAGCCTTTCAGTTCTGCCCTCGCTGCTCAGGGAGCTCTCAAGGCCTGAGCAGGAGGAATAGGCCAGGGCTGCCGCTGTGCCGCCAGCGGGACGGCCTCCGCTCCCTGCCTGTGTCTGTGTTCCCGGGAGAGGCCGTTCCCGGTGGTTGGCCGAGCGGTGTGGGCAGCGGGCCTTTTTTTCTAGTCATAATTCTTAATTCAAGAGTCAGACTCAGTTTTCATGATTTTTCCAGAATAGTATTAGTGGAATAGTCACAAAATGCAGCGAAATTCTGTCTTCTTTTTTTTTTTTTTTTTTTTTTTAGCAGAAGATGGCATACGACAGTGCTAAGCGTCTGGAGTTCATACGTGTGCTCTTCCGGTCGCTCTTGGAATGGAGTAACATTCCCTTCAGCATGNTTTTTTTTTTTTTTTTTTTTTTTTTTGAAGTTTGTATTCCCCAGTGCTAAACTTCCTGCCTTGTTGGGCAGAACAGTTTTGTAGCTCTTGGAATGGAGTAACATTCCCTTCAGCATGAGGTGCCACCAGAGAGCTGAGGCACTGCAGCCTTGAGTGAAGGAAGTTTTCTTCATTGGTCCCAGTATTCTGTTGCTGCTTGCAGAAATGCTGATCAAAAATGCTGCTAAAATGTTTTTCTTTCGGGCTACATCAGGTGCTATTACAACAGGACTGCAAGAAGCAGAAGCGAGTGGAGGGAAAATAAAGAGAAAATAGAAACAGCTCAGGAAAAGTACTGACCTGTTGCTACTCAAGACACTTCGTAATCACAAGCCTGTAAGAGAAAAATCCCATGAATCACTTTTCTTTGAAGTATTTTAAGGAGGCTGGTTGAATAAATCCTTTAAGAGAATACCATTTTGTATTAGCCATACCATTGGTACTATAAAATACTATGTAGATTACCCACTTGGACAATCAGAAACTAGAATATTGGTAGAAAAAATGTTAAAACACATTCCCATGAAGGCTGGGATGGCAATGTACCTTTTGAGTTTCCCCTGAAATGTAGATAAAGATATTTTCAGTTATTCTCTTTGTAAATGCATTGCAAGGAGTTTGTAGTAATCTAAGAAGTTACACAATTATTATGCGTTATTCCAAATTTGATACTGAGTTTCACATTGAGTGGCAGAGAAAAATTGCCTTATATGTACATTTTATTTTAGGGTCAATGTACTTAAATAGATCTTAGGAAATAGGCTTGGAAGTTGAGTGCACCTCCATGCTCTGCTGCAGGGTCAGCAACGCCTTGGCATCTCATATAGATATTTGCGTAAGCTGTTACATAAAATCTCCAGTCACAGAATTTTTGCAAGTTACTTACATCACCTATCGCAATCCCTGATTAATATTCATCACCATTTAAAATCAGGTCATTTTATATGGTGAAATGGCTGAATTTACGTAACCAAGGATCAAACAGTGTTTAAATAAACCAACTTTTCCCAAGGTCAAGCCAGAGCTTTGTAGAAGAGACAAGGTCCTTCTCTTGTTTTCGTGCATCGAACCAGGCAACTAGACAGGACACAACTCTCCTCATTTGTGGTTCTGCCATAGAGGTTTGTGGATCCCTACTCTTCCGCAGAGCATTTCCCAGCTTCTCCTATTGTTTCTCTATGGTTGCAAATCATCCGCATCAAAACAAAATTACACAACTTTGCTGCACTCTCCATCATAGTGACAAATACATGATTTTATGTGAGTTGTTTTAGGCTATTCGCTGTATATTGGCCTGAGTCTGGAGAAAGCATTCAGATACACTTCAACATGTCATTGGACTTTAAGAACATGCTTATAGATAAGCATAACGGTCTCCTGAGCAGAGGTTAATTTAAGAACGTATTTAAATGTGTTTCTGAAATAGGAAGTGCTGTTCATTCTATTCAATGCTATTAATCCTATGCTATGAATAGCATAATACTCTTTTATAGGTCTTGTATTTTGCCTATTAAGTTGTAAGTTTCTTGAGTTTTTCTTGCCTTCTTCTCATAATTTTATTTCCATCTCTCACTAACAACACCCTGTTAAGCATAATGGTCCATGCCTTGAAGAAAACACATGTTTTTATGCAAAGACTTAGGAAAGCACTTCCAGTTCTCCGTGGAATTCCAAAAGACATCATTTCCACACCTATTTTCATTAAGTATCAAGCAAAGTTAGAAATTGCATTGAAAAGACCCTTTCATGCCTACCAAAAGCAAAAGGAGTAAGAAAACAAACAAAAATGTGTCAAACATTTTGCAAAAGTGCAAACATGGGTCCTCCACCAGGCAGCTGATGTTGGGGAGTGGGGGCAGATGGGCAAGCTTGAGGCTTCATGACAGCCTGGTCCCTACATGTACCCTCTGTGCAGGGACCTGGATAGGCTTCTTGCAGGTTCAAATGCTGCTGGTGCCATTTGCAGTCTGCTGCTGGGAATGCTGTGCTGGGAATTTTGAAACTGCTTGGAAAGACCTGTCTGTTGCGGTTTGGTCAGCCATAAGGAAATGTGCTTGCTGATTCCAGTTTCTGGAAGGAACAGCATTTGGAAGTAACATTAATCATCTTAGATTTAGTAGCTTGCGGAGAGCTCATACTTCAGGAGCAGATGCTTGTGAAAATAAAAAATCTTAACATGAACATGAAAAATCTTCACATTAATCCCCTTGGAGACTGATAATTCTTGTCATTAACAAATGTTTGTTATTTGTGGAAGAATGGAAAGATGCTGAGTGTATCTCAGCCTCTGTATGAGCTCCAGTGGCCTGGAAGGGCTACTGATACATAGCAAGCAGAGAGAAATACACTTCTCTCTGTTTATGCATACGTATATATGCATTGCTGCTTCGTTATATCTTCAGGTGGTATCTATACTTGCAAGTTCATAATAGAGCAGCTTGGAAAACAGCTCCTAGGGACCTTGGAACCCTATTTCAAGATAAATCTGCCTCAGTACTGCTAGCGTTTGTCTTAGACACAGGCCCTGACCCTACATGAGCTTTGTGGCGGTCCACAAAGGAGTGAGGATATTAGGACAGTGTGGATTGGAAACGACCCTTTGGAAATACCAATCTCTTGTAGACCTGTCTTTACACTATTAAATTATAGAAAACCACAAGTTGCTTCATCATAGCCCCATAATATTTGCTTAGATTTTACTCTTAACTTAAATGAAGCCGGGATTTAGTCTGCATGATGTAACTGTGGGCATTTTTCTTCCTACTCTGGATCATGTGCTCTATAGTTCTTTATATTTGTGCAAATAAAGAAAAATTTTCCAACTCTACTACTAAATAAGCACATGACTGTTAAATCACTGCCTAATAATGCAGTGTTTTCTGGCCTTTATACCAATACTGGTGAGAAGATGAGGTTTTAGTGATGCTTATCTCTTCAACAAATTAAAACATTTTTATTTGGAAAATAAATATGAGAGTAAGAAAGCTGATTTCAACACTGAAAAGTTGTGGTAATTTTTTTTAATTAAAAATTTTCTAAGCTTTACTATTGAAAAAGTATATGAATATTAAATTATACTTCAGAAGAGCACTTAAAAAGAAAATTTGCTTGGTATTTCAGAGTGGAATCAATTTCACCAGGGCAAGGCCAAGGACCTGTTGCAGAAAAGATGATAAAGGATGTTACAGAACTAAGAAATGGAGTATTTCTGCAAAAATGGCACCTGGCAGTTTCATGGTTGCTGGCTCTGGAGGAGCTTGTGAAAATTTTTACAGAGCCAAGTATATCGTTTTGGTGCTGCAGTACAATGTTTTCAAGAAGTTGGTGGTGAATCAGAGTTGTGCTTGGTAGTTGTTATTTATAGAATGCAATGCACATAAAGATGCTCTAGAATTAAGAATTTGCTCTTGTTTCTTATATTGCTATGCAAAATGCTACCCACCCTCTGGAGGCCTTCCACTCAATTCCATGTTTACCTTTTTAAAGGATTTCAGTAATAACTGAAAAGCTGGGAAATTTTAAAGACGAGGAACTGATCTATGGGAAAGCTTACTTCACAAATACCAAATTGTAATTTTTGTCAAATATATCACTCTGAAAATAGTGCTCTTTTGCCTGCTCTCACAAGCTCATCTTGCTTAGATGTTCAAATCTCTGATTATTTTTTAATTATTTGCATATTTTCACACTCCCTTCATTCTTTCTACCCGTCAGTAAAAGGGAGGTCAGTATTCAAGCTGTGGTGATAAAGCCACATACAAAAGCAAGATTATCTATGCTTCTTACACATGTGGCTCCTATTCTACCATCTTTGTTATTTTATTCTGATAAATTGTTCTTCATTTTAGATTTAATTTATGTCTTCTCTCCTCAGTTTTCTATGTTTATTTGTGTCTTTTGATATTTCTCCTGGAGCCTGACTCAATCCAAAATGTCATTTCAAAGTGCAATTACATTACTCTTTGTTCTTCCTTCCATGTATCAAGCAGAGAAATTACTGTATCTTGCTGAAGTGCTCTTATTATTTAATAAGTTGAATTCTGCAGCACCATGTTGCTTAAAATTTGGTTAGTTGCTTAATTGAGCTTAACAATAGAGCAATAAATATCTTCACTATCTGTGTTTCTTGTATTTCAGTCCCTGAGAACTTCTGACCCAATTTAAATTCTGTGTCCTGTGAAAAATTGCCTGTCGATGTGCTTCAGAACATTCTTAAGGTAATACATTGGGCAAATGACCAACAAAATACAAAACAAATCATCATGCGATCTTCCAAACCATCTGTTTATATTATCTTTTCTAGTTAATAGATTTTTGGGTTATTTATTTTATAAATACATGAACAGAATTAAGTGACGGGTAGCACTGCTGGCAGGGAAGACTTCTTGAGGAATCCAAAGTCTCCATAAGCCGCAACATTTTCCAGATTTTGTGTCTCATTTACACACTGGTACCAATAAGTATGACTATTTATCAGTAACTAGCATCCAGCATATGCAATAGAAGTGCATAATCTGAGGAAATACAGAATAGACAAAGAGAACAACCTTTACCAGCCTTGGCTTTTCACAGACTATGTACCACAGAATAAGTTGCAATGGCACCAAAATTCCTGGTAGTACCTTTTTCAAATGCATCAACAACACAAGCTGACGACTTAGTCCCAGAGATACAAAAGAATGTAAGAAGAGATAAAGCCACAGCAGAAAATATAAAGAAGATTTTGCATTTCTGTTCGTGGTAGATAAACGCTGAGGGGTTCCCAGCATGAAACCTCATCTGCAGTTGCATGAGGTGATCTGTCTCAAACAGGAGATTTGACACAATGATGTGGACAGAGCACATTGTATATTTGACACATATGTCACAAGTAGTAGGGACAGGATAGTGTTCACCCGGCTGTTGTAGAGGAAGTCAAGGATGAAGCAACTGAACCACTGCTGTGTTGGTGGCTCCCTTTGAACTGCCTTGATGTCAGCAATTCGGTGTGTGACAAGTGTGATTCCTGCTCCTAAAAGGATTCAAGGGGAGTCTGGGGGAACTGCAGCTCAAGCTTTGATGCTTACATTGAAAGAATTTGAAGAAATTAAGGAATATAAATAGTAGGAAAACGGATTTGGTGCAGAAGAGTCATGGTGGTTTTTGTGAAGCAAAGTCAAGGAAGGAGTGAAATCAGGGGCTGCTTGAAATCAATTGGATTGCAATTTGAAATATTTGCCAAAGTCTCCACCTGAAGAGCCATAAAGAAAGAAATTTTCCATTGAGTAAGAGGAAATGTGTACACTTGCCTGGAGGCTGGACACCAAGGGCAGAAGTAAATGCTCTTCATAGCAATGAGACATCCCTGTTAAAATCCTGTGGTTCTATTTGCTGCATTCTGTGCCATTTAACCCACCTGTGAATGTTCTGTGGAAGGGATTATCAGTGAGGTAACATCACTGAAGGTGTCCAGAGAAATAAAACCAAAGTGAACTGAAGAACCGCTGAGGAATCATATGCAGAACAGTAGGTGCAAATGTCTATAGATAAATATAAAGTAATGCACATGGGGAAAAATCATAGCTTATAAAGCAATCTGATACCAGCTGCCATTCATGAAAGAGATGCCAATGTTGTGGCTTACATCTGTGATTAACAGATTTGAGTTTGTATTATTTATACAGGAAAACAAAAATAGTTGCCTGTGATAAGAGTAGTGTGTGATATAAAGGAAATAATATATTTCAAAAAGGGACATTTCTTCAAAATGGAGTTTACTACAACAGACAGAAACACAGTTGCAAGGATTTAGGGCCATGCACATTTACCTGTGAGCCAGATTTTTTACTCTAATTTGTCTCTTGGATTTTTGTGACATATGGAAAGACAGCGTGCAAATCTTCTTTGCAAAATTTTATAGCTTTTTATATAATGTTGTATTTAGAAGCTGTGTAATGTGTCTCCGATGTTCCACTACATAACAAAAATACTTTACAAGTTAGTTGCAGGAATATGACACTTAAGGTTCTCTTTCTGCCCAAACATTTTATATTAGCTTTTTTCTGTGTACAATAAAGATTTATTCTGAAATACAGATGAATAAGAGGCCTGTGTTGCCAAGCAGAATTCAAAAACTCCTATAAATATGCTCAAACAAAACCAAGAGCTTTCAAACATCTTTCCTAAGTGAAGCCTCTTTTTGTTCTAAAAACTATGTTTCAAAATACTCTGTCATTTTGCCCTTTAAAGACAGGTTCATTCATCAACATATTGTAAATGGTTGTTTGTAGATGACTAGTTTTGCTTTAACATCTGCAATGCAAAGATTACTATAAATTGCCATGGAACCAAATCCATACCATCACCCAAGCTCTGGCTGCTTTTGACATTCTTTATTATCATAATAGATATTTGATTTTCCAGTGTGTTTTTATATGCAGAATGAATTGTTGCTCCATTCAAATTTTAAATGTTAGATTTTTTTTCTCTTCTTTTCCTTTCATTCTGCTCCGTCTCTTGAAATAAAGCTTACTACTGAATAGCAAATCATGTTTCTTTGTTGGTGTTCTGTAATCCCATCTCCTAAAATACCTCAGAGAAAAAGGGCTGCATTTGTTTTCCTTTATTACCCAGGGATTTTGAAGATATGCTCAATCCATAAGAATAAAAACCCTGTTAATCTTCTTTTGTAGCAAATGTCGGGCTCCAAAAGCCAGTGACGCCACAGGAGTGATGACGGTGGGAAGTCGAGCCCAGGGGTAGAGAAGAGTGAACCCCAAAGCCTCTGCACGTCTGCCCCAAAGACAACTCGGCAAACGGTGATGTTCCTTCACTGTAAGCAAAACAAAGATCATCTTGGCTCCGTTTTCCTTGTCTCTAACATTGGTCTTAAAAACAGATTAATTCCTTCAAATTTAGGAGATGTAATACACTCCATTTCTTTACTGTTACTTTTTGCTTGCTGCTCTGTCACGGACATTTGCACTTCGAGGTGAAAGTCAGAAAGATATCTGTTTTAATTATTCCCTTTCCCCTGAATATTTACCTTTTAATTTGACAATCCAAATGAAAAACTTTTCTGGCCTTTTTGGTAGATCTCTTTGCTCGTACTCATACCCAATTAAACTGCCACAAGTGTAATATTATTTTGATAAGCTTTATACATCTGCCATCTAAAAGTCCTACCTATCTACTAGTAAAAACCTAATATTGCTGCATTGCATTTGAAATGATTTTCTCTGTGTTCATTACCTAAGATTTAGACAAAAACACTTAAAGAATTTTAATGATCACACTAAGGACTGGGGGTTGAAATAACAAGTGCGAAGTGTGAGGACAGTTGTTCCATTTACATGTGTTGTTACTCTGTTTACACAGCAAATTTAGCACTTATGCCTATAGATGGGTGATATTAGCTGTCCCTGCAGATGGCTAATTAAGCAAAGGATATGCAGTACATCCCGCCTATTTACACTCACTTATTTACACTTAGAGCAGTGGCCACAGACAAATCAGATATGTAACTGCTAATGTATGAATGTGGCATATTTAGTATTTTCATGATTCTTACTGTTTGACATAGATGCATTCTGGTATTATGATTTTATTATTCCTTAATCTAACCATTAGAAGGAACCGAGTATGATAATGAAGACTCCTGCTTCAATGTACACAGCAAAAATCATTCTGGTCTAAACTTCAGAGATGTGAAAATATAAAATATTGCTCTTTTGTGGATTATAATGTTCAGTATTAATATGTCAATAATGTACATGAAATTACCCAGGAATATCAATAGCTGGAGTAAGACACATGCACAAAGTGTTAAAGTTGTTTCTTCTAGTAAGCTCTCAAAGATATGATGTGAGACCTCACTGATAATTTTAGAGAGTAACTTTCCAGATTGGGTGGCCCTATCTGAGCTGCACAACAGGGAAAGCAGCAAACTGTAGTATAGGAGCACCCAAAAGAGCATTTTGAGAAAGAAAATGAGCATTTTGAGATGGCAGCGGTGGGAACTCCATTGTTTCCCTCGGCTGCTGAAGCCACGTTTACTAAATATCCTTAAGCACCCAAAAGCAGAGGTCACATCTTGTGATTTAAGCCACAAGAACACATTTTACTATGTATATTATACATATATATATATATTTATATATGTGTGTGTATGTGTGTGTAACAGGTATATATCTTGTTTCTGTGTCTGGCAGTTTGCAGGATTTTAAAGGGTATATTGCAAACTTTTCTATGATTGATGATCTAGGAATCTTTCATTCTGAAGATAACATGAAAATGCCAATTTAGCAAATTAGATTTGTGTTTTTTGTCTTAAAACGCATTATTTATGTTAAATGAATAGTAGCTTAGAGCTCTGTAGCTTGGAGGGTGAATTTGATTTAACAATCACAGTTTGTTAAGCAGAAATAACAAGGAGGCAAGGCTATACTATTCATATACATACTTTTTCCCATGTGGTGATGGCACAGAGGACTCCAGGATGGTTTTTTTTTAACCTATTTCCTATTAAATAGCATTTTAATTAATTATTTGTTCTTACATATGTCATACACTAACATGTAAAATATCCATGGTTTTGCATAAGTCAGTAATTTTTCATGGATGATAGTCTTACACTTTCTGACTACCCAAAGAAGGACTTTAAAGGAATACTAGGAAGTTGTTTATATCCCATTCCCAATATTATATTAGTTAATTCATATTCATTTTTTTTCCTAGAGAAACTTCAGTTAATCCTCTAAAATCTTCTTAAACAGGGCATCTATAGCAGCTGAACCAAAATAATATTATTATGTGCTTACCAACACAGTAAATAGGTTTGAGACTTTCAGAACAAACCTACCTTCGTGTATCTGAGAAGGAAATTTCTAATTCTTCCTGTTTCTTTTCTTAAACCATTAAGCATCAGAAACCTTTCTGAAGATCATGTGGCTCTGAGGATGGGAAGGTCTGTCCACATGTACTCGGTGGAGTATTGACTTCTTTACCAAGGTTCACCTCAGTAGAGTCTTTGTGAGGTGCTTCCATCATGCTATGTACAGGCATAGGACATGACAGCCCCAAATCCTGCACTGCAGTCACAGGAGAAAATCACCCTGCTTTTACATGGTGTACAGTGTGGAAAACAGAATCCCATAGTTAGCTAAAAAAAGGGAAAAAAAAAAAAAAAGATCATTAGACCTACCGCTGAGAATATTCAATAAGGGATAAGCAGGATGGCTGAATAGGAAAAGAGATTTAATCACAGTTCACCATTTTAGATGCATGTAGCTTCGTAATGGATTTTCCTGTCAGGAAGATTACACTTTTCCTCCTCAAAAAAATTGCAGACAATGTTAAAAGTGGTGAATGATACCAGAGGATGCTGCATATAATGAACCCTGAACCCCAAACAGGTGGTTCTGCAGTTGTCCAGCCCCCCACTTTTATTTTTTAGGTTTATCTTGGGGTGAATTTGATGAGATGATAGACTTCAGCTGTGACATTTGGAGAAATATTTCGGCTAAGAGGGACTCTCCAAGCTGTCTGACAGCAAACTCCTTGTAGTTCTGCCAAGAACACTTTGCTAATGGATGGTAGAAAATGCACAGTCACTGAACACAAGAAGTTAGAACCGGCCTGTGATGGCCAGACTGGGAGATAAAAGCCAGACTCTCTTCACATATCTGCAGGAAGGAAGCATGTGTTCAAAATTAATATCAAAAGTAATGACAGAAGTGGGTCTATGGTGTTTTTGCATTAAAACCTGCGAAATGACAAATAAAGCTGCTGCTATCTGAAGCTGACCATCTGCAGTGCCTCTCAGCCATCAGCCACAGACATTAGGAAAAGGATCGGCAGATGTACTGATGATTTTTTGTCTCATCCAGGTTTGGAAGCTCAGTGACTTCTTCCTCACGACCTGCATCCCCAGAACTGTGTGACAGACACATCTCCTGCCAAATAGGCCTCCAGCTCTGACAAATGCCCTGTGGATGTTGGGTCTGTTTGCTCTGCAGTGTGCTGGGCCACTTGATTCCACTTTTTTTTTTGCACATAACTATAAATTTTGAGGCTTCGAGAGCTACCATAAAATTTTGTATGTTTTGTCTCATTTCATACAGGAATTTCTAAATCTTAGGACTTAGGCTGCTTAGAAAACCCTCTATGGAAACCCTCTGGTCGTGCAAAACTGATCATGTAACCCTAAAACATGTTCTGCATCCACAACACTTCTCAATATGTTCCATGAGGCCTGTTAATTCATTAAGGGCTATTAGCTGCAAAGTTATGGATACTTATTTCAGGTAAGGAAACCCTTAAAATACAGTTATAGGCATAGTCTATAGGATCATTACTGATCCTCTTAGACACTTGATGCTGTGAGTTGGGGGTACCCAACACACTATGGCCGTGTAGAAGTTTATCAAGCCGAACTAAATTTAACCATGGACTTCTAAGTTAAGAAAAGAAGATTTAATCAGACCATATTAAATTTCATGAATAACAATCAAAAATATTCTGATTTTAGTCTTGGATCAAAAGAGATTGACCAATGTCTTTCGGGATTGCTCATTTCCTTTTTCTACATGGATTTCTGGCCAATAAATAAGGAAGAGAATTAAAGACAACAAATAAACACTGCTTGTTTGCCACATGCTTGTATATTTGTTTGGCCCAGAGTTGCCAGGTCGTGGTGCTACCTGTTTGCATTGTTCTTTTGGTCAGATATATCTTTTTCATTTCCTTTATAAACAGGAAAATTATTTTAGCGAGCCAATATCTGCTATTTTGCATCATCCTTGTGATGTAGCCAACTTCAGAGACGTGAAGTCTATTTTGTATCCTGATTCTACTGATGAAAAAATAAAAATAAAGACAAAAGGAAAGACATCTTGTTTTTTCTACAGAGAAATTATGAGGAAGGACCATGATGATCATTCCAATCAATAAGTGTTGTTGAAAGTACAGTTCTATCTTCTTTTATTGCAGAGTAACACTGGTTGCACTCATGCTTGAGAATTCTGTATCTCTTTTTTTGGCACGAAAGCTGCAAGATCTGCTGTCGCAGTGTGCAGAATGACATGCTGCCGGAATTTCAGGACATTTTAGGTACTAATCCCAGCTACTCCGGTTGCCACTGCACAATCTTCAGTTTGATGCCATGCTACCTACTAAGCATGGAGTTCAAAGTGCAACTTTATACCAATTGTTTTTTAGGCCAAGAGGGTGTTAGAGAGAATGGTCTATCCAGCCGTGTCATTCTCCTTCCTGAACAACTGTGTGTGATCTCTGCCAAAGGCAAGATGAAGTGCCAGGTGGACTTTTGCTTTGATCTGATGTACTAATTTGGGGGTTTTAGTGATGCATGAAGCCAGGTTTTCCTTTTCACAGCAATATGAAATTTTGTAACACTTGTGCAATATCAGGAACTTTCGAAAAATGTCACAGCATCACAGAATATTCAAGGTTGGAAGGGACCTCGAGAGATCATCTAGTCCAACCTTCCTGCTCAAGCAGGGACACGCAGAGCATGTGGCACAGGGTGGCATCCAGGCGAGTTTTGAAGACTGCAAGAGAAGGAGACTGCATGTCACTTGGCAAAATCAAAGTTCAACTTTAATTTTCCTCTTCCAACATGGATGTATTGATTGTCTGCAAGTTGTTGTTGTTTCCTGTTCTCTCATCCCAATTCCCATATGTCAATTAGGAAAGGCTGTGCTCCTATGATGATCTTTCTGTGGGCCCCACATTTTGGTCGGGTGTGGATGCACATCACATAGCACCAGCTGAGCTGGCCGACAAGCAATGATCGTGCTCCGCTCCACAGCTTCCCTGGGGGTCCTCTTGAAAGCAAATCTTTGTGATAAACTCGAAAAATTGCAAACCAGCCCAATTCAGACACTTAGATGAAGCTGCAAGTGTATTTGTGCTGTTTTGTTTATTTCATTGTGCTGTTCATAGATTTTTAGAAAATTTATTTTTCACAAAATAACCATTTAGATGGTGAACTGTAAACCAACTCTAATTATACAAGTGTAAAATCCAGCTAAGCTCTCTTTTAGTTTGTGTTTAAAATACATACGTATATATACTTATTGTCATTAAATATGGACTCTACAGAATCCTTTTCAAAAGAACAACCTGCCAAGCCATGAGCTTCATTTAACTGTAATGTCATCCCAGTATACTAAAACAAGTATACTGAAGTGTTAAAAATAATCAGTTTGGAAAGCATGACCTATGGGTTTGGAAGTACTTTTAGCATTTATTACTGACAGAAGAAAGAGTCTCTATATCAAAAAGTAATTTATTCTAAATAAAATAAAGATTACAATTCTAATTAAAAAAAAATCTTAGCTCTATGTTGTGTGACTTGGTTAGAGTTGGTAAAAACAATGAACCTTTTCAATCAAAATTTATTTTAACACAAGTGAAGTTTAGAAAAAAATCTAAATATTTTACTTTTAGGTTTCTTTGCCTTTTGGCTTCTCTGCCTTGATGAAACAAAGTGTTTCCTGGTGAGTGAATGTATTTCTGATCTGTGACATTCTCATTAGGGTTTTCACCTGTTTGATGTTCTTTTCAGATGCCAAGTCCTGCAGAGAGTGGGATGTTTATAGATGCAAGTCATAAGACTTTTCCAGGAGCATAGGGAAGTGCAGAGACAATGTCCAGCTTTAGGATTTTTTTTTCTTGAAATGATTTGTTTTTAGTAAATAATGCACAGACTAAAAGTCACTACCACACAGGGAATGTACTTGTGCTTTAAAGTTTAAACACTCGTTTTAATGAAACTCAGCTGCATGAAACCAAGGAAAATCTGCAGACCTTTCCTACATGTCTAGTACTGAAATGTGCACAAGAATCCTGCAAGAATCCTATGATTTGTACTTTCTCTGTGTTAATGCTCCCATTTGGTTACCTTCAACAGTCTCTTGTACACTACATTTTTGAGGGGGATATTTTAAAAACATTCCCCTCAGCAAACCTTGCTCAGGACCTTCGAAATGGATGAAGAATGGGAAAGCAGCATGAAGACAATAAAAACTGTCTCATTCTGCATAGGGACAACCAAAGTATGATCAGCTTTAACCATTAAGAAAGTGAAACTTCAATAGTGAAAAAGGACTGTTTGTGTGCATATTTCCCCAGGAGTGCTGAACGAAGGTGGACTGGAGATAGGTTGCAGCAGAACAGTCTCGCTTAGGCCACATGCTCCATTTCAGAAAGAAAGTGGTTTATTTTTCCCCAAATGTGGTCTTGAATTCTGAAAACTATTGAGCAAACCTGTGTGTTGATTCTCACAGTGTCCTGTGCTGCCCATGGCTATAGCCGTGTGTGTCTACGTATAGTTTGGAGTACTGCTACGTAACACCTAGGTAGGACATCCAGTCCTGCATGGATTAGGATATCAAATGAACAAATCACCCACCAGTCATTTCTCCTTGTGTCTTGTGACCTTTTTTAAAAGCAGGAAAGACTTCTTAAAGAAAGGTTTATCTGAGTGCCTGTTTTTGTCACTTTCTTACATTTGGTCTGGTAGCGCCTGGGTCACAACAAGAGACCAGCTGCAGAGCCCTAAACATCAAGTGAAGCTGTAACCTCTACGCATAAGAGCTTGGGGCTGTCTTGGCCCCTCCTCATGGGAGAGATGCCCTGGTGCCATGGTCACCGTTGTGCTGGTGACCACAGCTGGGGCCATTGTCCC